CAGTTTCCTCAACAGCAGCTTTTGGCTTCTCTCTCTCTCTCTTCCTCCGACATTAGCATCCATTTGCCGTGAGCAGCTTTTCAGACAGCTCCTACACCGAGTGGGGTTTTTGTTTCACTAAGCACATGCTCAGGTTTACTTTGCAGAGCTACAGACTGCAGTAGGTGTTCAGCAGATGGAGTTTTTCGTGGAAGGTGTCTGGTAAAGAAAAAAAAACCACAACAAACCAAACCCAGCGCAGTATTTTGTTACTGTATGAAGAAAAGCCAGATTCTGCAAATACTTGGCCACAGGCCTTGTTCAAACCATCCAGACAGCACCAAGCTTCATCTTGATGAGTATTTTTTAGTGTGTTGGTGATGCTAAAGTGACAGCTTGTTTCTGTCCTCTCCTTCATCCCCTCAGTGGTGCTGGCACGAATGACAGTCTGTCCCTCAGAGATCCAGGCAGGGGAAACAAATCCCAAATAAAACTTCTTCCTTGACCACCATTTGAGATGTAGAGCTGTTCCTGGTCTCCCGTGCTATATGGTCCCATCAGCATCAACCCAGCATGAGGAAGAGGACACAGCAGGGGGAGCAGCCAGTGATAGGGAGCAGTGGCTGCCAGCACTGGCTCTGAGATGTGAAATGTCACCATCCTCCAAGCTCTTCGCTTTTGGTGAAAAAGCCCTCGTGGGACAAGAGATTTGGTGTCACCAGAGCTATTTACTCTGCTTTGGCCAGCAATCAGGGCCTGCTGAGGGCACCCTTTTTGTTGGATACATGCAAAAAACAAAGGCCACATTTTCTTCTTTATTATTTCACCAACATCAAAAAGACCTGGTCTAGGAGAGAATGTGACTGTTTTAGGAGAAAAAAAAAAAATTCTCCTTCAAAAGACAAGAAACACATTTTCCTTCCAACTAATGGCCAAGAAAGTTGCCATCAGATCTTTGAGTAGTCTTCCAGAAAAAAAAAAAAAAAGAAACAAAAAATATGGAACAAAAATGTGGTGGCTTTTAGTTAGAAGATGCAAGATCAACAAGTTGGGCCTTCTTTGCACAGCAGCTCCAACTTTTCTCCTTTACGTATCACATCTGTGGTTAGAAAAATGGATACTGCCTATAAACCCTGAGGAAAGAAATGTTCCAGCTGGTATTGAAAATTGTGGTCTGAAGGAGTTTTCATTGCTGGGTTATTAACCAAAATGTAGTTGTAGGGACTAAAAGCATTATTTCTTCAGATTTAAAATAAAATATTCCTATCCGAGGCTCCAGGTATCAAACATCTGATTAATGCAGCCAGATCACAGCAGTACTAAAGTGGTCTTGTCAGAGTCTCTCAGTTGGCCAGATGCTGCAGAGACAGCTTTTCATAGCAAAAAGCAGCCAGGACTGGCACTCCCAGGCTTTTTGGACCTGGCTCAAGGTAAGGCACAGGGAGATGCAGCAGCTGCATTGCAGAAGGGAGTCTGCATGGCAGCAACAGGCTCCGTGCCTGGAAAAAATGCTACAACCTCAGGGCCAGATGAGGCAGTAAAACCAATACTGAGTTCCTGGCATGTCCCCCTAAAACAGCTCTGGTGGCCTGTATCAAATGAATTCCTAGTCATAGTCTCAACAAGCAAATTCAGAGACCAGTATGTTCCTACTGTCCATTCAAAGACCAGGTTAGGAGGGCTGAGTCACTTCAGATCACAGAATCACAGATTATCTTCTGTTGGAAGGGACCTCTAAAGGTCACCTAGTCCAACCCCCCTACCATAAGCAGGGACTAGACCAACTAGACCAGATTGTATAGAGCCCCATGGATCCTGACCTTGAATGTCTCCAGAGTTGGGGCCCCCACCACCTCTCTAGGCAACCCATTCCAGTGATCCACCAGCCTCATATTAAATAACTTTTTCCTAATGTCCAACCTAAATTTACCCTTTCCTAGCTTAAAACCATTACCCCTTGTCCCATTGTTACATACCCCAGTGAACAGCTGTTCCCCAGCCTTCTTATAGGTCCCTTTCAGGTATTGGAAGGCTACTGTAAGGTCCTCCCAAAGTCTTCTCTTCTTCAGGCTGAACAACCCCAACACCCACAGCCTGTCTTCGTAAGAGAGGTGCTTCACCCCTCTCATTGCCCTCCTCTGGACACAACCTTCTTGTGCTGGGGGCTCCAGAGCTGGATGCAGCACTCCAGGTGAGGTCTCCCCAGGAAATAGTAGAGGGGCAGAATCACCTCTCTTGATCTGCTGGCCACATGTCTTTTGATGCAGCCCAGGATGCAGTTGGCCTTCTGGGCTGCAATTGTACCTTGGTGGCTCGTGTCCAGCGTTTTATTAACTGCTATTCCCAGGTCTTTTTCCACCGGGCTGCTCTCTAGCATGGCTTTTCCCATTGGTTGCCCCAGCCCAGGTGCAGGACCCTGCACTTGGCCTTGTTGAATCTGATGAGTCAATATGTCCTTTTATTTTTTGGTGGGAATTCTCACGGCCTGTGCATGGGAAAGCACACATTGGTTCTGACAAAACCCTATCTCCTCTGGACAGTGGCCACTTACAGTTTCTGCCTGTCCTTCTAACAGCTTTCCTTGATGCTAAGAAAAATTACTCCTGTAGCCTCGTTCCCAGTTAAAGCTCACTCTGGTCCCTTTTTGAAGTGCAAGCTCAAAAAGGCATGGAAAGATCCTAATTTTTTACAGAGTGACACAGCGAGAAGAGACATTGACCCACTCCTGGTGAGCAGCAGAGCCACTGTCTCAGCCAGCTTCTCCCTCCTCTCCCTTGAACGCTCAAGACAGGAACTAATACAAAGACCCGTGTATGGTCCCTAACCCTCTTCTGAAATCTAGCACGTTATAAATTAGGCTGCTGACCTCTCTGTGCAGGCTGCAACGCTCCTCCGAACCAACACACATCTAAGTGCAGGAAGTGAAATTCAGACTTAGAGGAAGGAAGCACAGTGCCCCGTCACAAGACTAATCACTTATCCAAGTAAATTCCACGAAGACTGCATCTCTGATGGGGTTAACATGGAGCAAACTGGTTGTCAGCAAACATCTCCTCCCCATCAGCACTGGGAAGCAAGAGGAGAGAAGATTGTGCAGAAGCAAGGAGATGCCCCAGAGGGAACTGGTTGAGATGACTCCCTGCAGAGCTGGTTGCAGGCACAGCAAACCCACATCCACAGCAAAACCCTTCAACCACTGAGTTTCCCCAGCAAAGGCAACTGTGCACAGGTGCTGCCAAGCTCCAGATGTTTCCCATTAGGAAAGGCCCGGGTGTGTGGGGTGGTTATAAATGTGCCAGGGCAGCAGAAGAAGGGTCTGTAGGGGTATCTGGTGACTGCCTGGGCCCTCTGCTTTTACAGCTGTATGTAGCATGGGTTGTTTTTCTCTGGTTGAGAAGTTTAAAGTAGAAAAGGATGAGGGGAGGGCTGATATGTGTTGTTCTTTAAGATTTGACAGTTCTGTTTCTATCTGTGATGACAGTAGAGGTGAAGTATTGGTGGGTGGAGGAGTTGCTTTGGAGGCTTACTGAGAAAGGCAGTGACTTCTGAGTTGTATCTGACTTGCAGCAGCAAGGTGAAAAGCAGAATCTGCTGTTGTTACAAGAACAGTAGCTGAATGGATTTGTGTTTGCTGTTTCTGGGGTACTCTTCCTTAACCAATGGCATCAAATGATATCTATGAGTGATCAAAGCTTTCATGTGTGTGAGATTGGGGTGGAGGAGTGCATGCGGTGAGCAGAAGTGATGCCTTTGATAAGGCAAGGAAAAGGGTGGTTAATCTGCCTGTGTAAATAATGCAGTCTTCTTCTCCCTTGAACAAAACAGGCCAGTATCAGCTCTACCTGTTCCATTTCATATGGTGAAATGGATGCCTGGGACAACAGTGATGAACTCGTTCGGCGCCTGGATTTTTCCAGTTGTGGCGAAGACAGTGAAGATGAAAGTGTACATGAGGAGGATGACCCAAGCTTGAGCTCCCCCAGGAGCTGCGAGTTCCAGAAGTGGCAGGAGAGCAGTCCTCTGCCAGCAACCCCTCAGAGAAAGCTTAATGAGATCTACCTGAGCAAGGCAAAAGCCTGGATGAGTCCCACCCTAAAGCCTTCCTTGGTCATAAGCAAGAGCCGGGGTAATGCTGAGACGCCGCTGCACATCACCTGGAAAAAGCTACAGCTGTGTGACACCCCACACACTCCCAAGGTAATGGCACTATCTCCTCTGTGTTTGAGCAGGCAGACCAGCAGAGGCTGTGGTGTTGCTGGGGGATAACTGCATGGGAGTTGGAGGGGATCTGTTGTTAGCTATGTGGAAATCATTTTTTTTAGTGTTACTGTTGTTAGCCTCTACTCATTCCTTAGCAACCTGGACTGTGAGCTTCTTAGCTATGGAAGGGCTGTTCTGTGGGTGTGAATAGAAACCTGTGTGTGGGAGAAAGTGTCTTGACTCTATCCAAGCTGTTGTTAGAACCGAGTAGCCAGCATTGGATTAGTCTGGCTTAAAAACCTAAGCAGCCATGTGCCTTGGCTGCCCATGTACCCCTTATGGTCTGCTTAGGAGTGGAGTGGACGTCTGCAGCATTTCTGTAGGAAATGTGCACTGTGGTCCCAGAGATACAAATGCATCTCTCTCCAAGGAACTTGTCATTCTAGGGGAAGCTTGGAGACAGTCAGCTGCCCTAACTGCTCTGTTCAGTGCATTTTTTTAATCCAAATGTGTTTCCTCTTGAAAGAGGAATTTGGGAAATAGTGTTGTGGCTGGGGTGTACCTTATCTGGCTGATCACCTCCAACCAGGTTGTTGTCCCTTGATGTTGACTCTCTTTTTGCATAAAACTGAGCTGTTTGGTGAATTTGAGGAAAGTGAAACTTTGTTCTCAGGGTAGCAAATCCCTTGTGGAAAGGGTAACAAATCAGCGAGTGCTTGTGGGGAAGGCTAGCCTGTTGCTCTCTCTGTCACTGTTCTAAAATGTAATTTACCTACTGAGCTACTTTCTTGGGAAAGCCCAGCCCCTATTTTCTGTGAAACTTCTTATATAGAATATAGCACAACTGCTTTGATGGCTTCTGTAAGCACAAGTGGAGACTTGGTGCCAGCTTCTCTGTTCCTAGATAACTTCTGTTGTGCGCACTGGCTTCTAGCATTCAAGACCTGTGATGAAATGTAGCTCTTTCAGTATTCCTCCTCTACTGATAGATTGGTTGGTCCTTTGCAAGACATGGGAGATATGTCTTTTTAGTACTTCTGAACTAGGATTTGACTTCTGTCCTCTTCAAGAAACTTGAATATATGAAAAAAATTAGGATCCTGTGGCCACATATGACCAACTGTGGACATATTTACTGAGAAGTGGCCAGCTGCTGTCTAAGACAAAGTGGCTCTAAATGACATCACTCCAAGAATTGCTTGCAATGGCTTTTTATAAGAAACCTCTTTGAATAGCATCTGAAAATGGGTGAGAGGTCTGGAATCTTTTCCAGACCAGATTGCCTACTGGTAGTGAAGAACACTTTCAGTGTGTGCTCTGGTGTAGACAACATGTTGGCAGGATGCTTCAAGACTTGGTGTCTGTGGTTTGCTGCCTTGTAGCTGATGAGCAGCAATTGCACTAAATCAACAGGTTCTTTTCTTTGATATCTTCTGGGAGAGAAGCCTTGGTTTCCAGGCATGCTGCAAAAGGTGGGCTTGAAAGGGCCTAAATCTGCTTATAAATGAGATTGGGAGCATAGATCTTGGAACATCAGAAGGTAAGAGAAAGGGTAAAAGCAGAGCCACATCTAACTGCAGACAGATGAACACTGGAACCCCAACTAGGGTGCATAGCAGAGGAGACAGATGATTGTGTTTTGTGAACTTGCCTGAACCTGGAACAGATTTCTAGAGCTAGTTATGGTAGCTGCCTTACACTGTATGGCAGCAGCTACACTCAGATGATGTTACAGGAGACAAGTCTGCTTGATTATGAAATAGAGCTGTAGTAGAGCAGATGGGAATTGCATGCATATGACAGCAGGCTGCAATGATATTTTAGATCCCTTTCTTGACTTGTGGCTAGACTAGAACAGAGCCACAATTCTACAGAGCTGCTGGGTAAATTTGGCTTGGAAATACAAGGTTTTTAGTACATCCATATACAGGACTTTTCCATCCAAGAGCAAGGAGATGCAGACCAGAGCTTGAGAAAGTGGTCAGGAAGGACTTTTAGGGTCACAGTAAACCAGTAGTTGAACTTCCACATATGGTATAGAAACAGAAGGATGTTTAAAATACCTATACAGCATAAATTAGGTGGATACAGGATGTGGTATGTTGCTCAATGTTGTTTATATCTTCAGAAACTTTCAATAGGAGAAGGGACAAACTTTAGATGTGAGTGGAGATGTGGCTCCAGAATGATAAGAGACCACTTGTTGCTGATCTTCAAGACAGGGAGGGTTCTAGATAAAAGCTCTTTGAGAACCCAGAAGAAAGAGCTGTTGAAAAACCCTAGACCCTACACCACCAACAAGTAAAGAACAAACTTACATTTCAAAAAGCTGATGGTTACTGAAAAGGTCAAATCACGGAAAGTAAGTAGGTTTTTCTGTCTTCAGGTTGAGACTGGGTCCTTCTCTGAAGTTATGCTTTACTTAGCCCAAGGATTTGGCCTAGCAAGTGAAACAAAATGGCCTGTTTTAGGTGGGAAGCTGAACTGTAGAAGATAGAGAAGTTCCTTCTGAATTTAAATTTCTGAAACTCTTATTTTTTTTCTTCTCAAGAAGTTTTTTCTGGTCACTTTGCCAGTAGCCATATTAAAAATATTTCTACCAACTTCCCTTATACTAATGCTGTTTATTGCTGGGTGACCAAAAGATAACTTGGGTAGTGTTCTGTCTCCTCTCCTGACAAACCTGTCCTGACCAAACTGATGCAATGGTCCATGCTTGACAGAACTGGGTCTTCCAGGTTAATGCAACATATGATGCAATTTCTGTCTCTTTCCCCACCCATAGGTGGGGAAAATGAACAGCTGGCTCTTCTTGAGGACTATGCTTGTCAAAATGGCTCTGCAGGCCTCACCAGAGTGAGCAAGGAATAGAGTCTGAAAGCGCTGAGCAAATAATGTGACTTTGTGGAAAGAGAAGAAAACTGTTGGAACTAAATTAGGGATGCAGGGTTTTAATTTGCAATGTTGAGAAAAGGAACCAAGTTCTTGAGTAGCAGGAGAGCAGGGATTTGACTTTGTCATAACAGCAACAAAA